GAGGACTAGAGTGATGGGGTGCCAAGGATGTAATGGGGCTGGAAGTATTACTAATAGCACTAGATCTGGAAAATAAGTCTAGATAAGGAAACCTAGACTCATTAAAGAGAACATCCTTGGAGATGTATAACCTACCAGTAGGAGCCAGACACCTATAACCTTTGTGAGAGGTAGAATATCCAAGAAAGAGGCATTCTTGAGATCTGAAATTAAGTTTCTGAGAAAGATAAGGTCTCAAGAGAGGAAAACAAGCACACCCAAAAACTTTCAGAAACTTGTAATCAGATTGCTGATGAAAGAGAAGAGTGTAGAGAACTTCAAAGTGAATGGAAGCAGATGGCAGCCTGTTTATAAGATAAACAGCTGTGGAGAAAGCATAGTCCCAATATGTAAGGGGAAGGGAAGCATGACTAAGCAAAGTAAGCCCTAAGTCCACTATGTGCCTGTGTTTTCTTTCAATTACACCATTCTGATGGTGTGTGTGGACAGATAAGACGATGATGAATGCCCATCTCAGTTAGATACTTAGTAAATGGCCCTACACTCTTCTCTTACATCATCGTCTTATCTGTCCACACACACACCATCAGAATGGTGTAATTGAAAGAAAACACAGGCACATAGTGGACTTAGGGCTTACTTTGCTTAGTCATGCTTCCCTTCCCCTTACATATTGGGACTATGCTTTCTCCACAGCTGTTTATCTTATAAACAGGCTGCCATCTGCTTCCATTCACTTTGAAGTTCCCTACACTCTTCTCTTTCATCAGCAACCTGATTACAAGTTTCTGAAAGTTTTTGGGTGTGCTTGTTTTCCTCTCTTGAGACCTTATCTTTCTCAGAAACTTAATTCCAGATCTCAAGAATGCCTCTTTCTTGGATATTCTACCTCTCACAAAGGTTATAGGTGTCTGGCTCCTACTGGTAGGTTATACATCTCCAAGGATGTTCTCTTTAATGAGTCTAGGTTTCCTTATCTAGACTTATTTTCCAGATCTAGTGCTATTAGTAATACTTCCAGCCCCATTACATCCTTGGCACCCCATCACTCTAGTCCTCTTTTGAGTGCTCTTACTCCTCACATCACTTCCTTACAATCTCTTGTCCCTAATTCTTCAGTTATTCCTCCTCCTGCCTCTCCCACTACCTCCTATGTTCCTACTCCCCTTGTTGTCCCTACTAGCCCTAAGGATTCATCCTCAGCTGGTAGTTCTGCCACTTCTTCACCAATTACTGCCAGCAACTCCCCAGGGCCACTTTCATCTTCCTCTAATCCTGCTGACTCCTCCTTCAGCTCATCTTCAAATACTGCTTCTGCATCTTCTGTTCCCCCTAATGTTATTCCAGTGCCTGTTATCCCTCAAAACTCTCATCCTATGATTACTAGGGCCAAGTCTGGATTTTCTCAGCCTAGACTGGATCCTAGGGTGCTTCTCACTCACACTGAGCCTAAATCTGTTAAACAAGCTATTGCTGATGTGCATTGGAAGAGAGCCATGCAAGATGAATTTGATGCCTTACAGAAAAATGCCACATGGTCCCTTGTGCCTTTACCTCCTCATAAGAATGTTATTGGCTGCAAGTGGGTGTTCAGGCTCAAAGAAAATCCTGATGGCACCATCAACAGATACAAGGCCAGGTTGGTAGCCAAAGGTTTCCATCAGAGGCATGGGCTTGAACTTTACTGAAACCTTTTCCCCTGTTGTAAAGCCTGTTACTATCAGGGTTATTCTCACCATTGCCATTACCCACAGGTGGTCTATTCAGCAGTTGGATGTAAATAATGCCTTCCTTAATGGTCTCCTCACTGAAGAAGTTTACATGGAACAGCCTCCAGGGTTTGTTCACCCTGACTCTTCTCTGGTGTGTAAACTCAATAAGGCTTTGTAGGGCCTGAAACAGGCTCCAAGGCAGTGGTTTGAGAGGCTGCAAACAACTCTTCTCAAGCTCAATTTTAAAGCCAGCAAGTGTGATCCCTCTCTCTTCACCTACTTCTCCAAAGGACACTCCCTTTATCTACTGGTTTATGTGGATGATATTATCCTCACAGGTAGCTCTACTACTCTTCTCCAAGAGGTCATTCAAAAGCTTAACTCTGTTTTCTCTCTCAAGCACCTTGGGGATCTTGACTATTTTCTGGGCATTGAGGTTAAGCAGTCAGCTAATGGCTCTATGCTCCTCACCCAAACTAAGTATCTCAGAGATTTGCTGCAGAAAACCAACATGTTGGAAGCTTGCTCTGTCAGCACTCCCATGCAGTCCACCTGCAAACTCACCAAAACTGGGTCTGCAGCCTTTTCTGATCCTTTTCTGTACAGGTCTGTGGTTGGGGCATTGCAGTATGCCACCATCACCAGACCAGATTTGACCTATGCTGTTAACAAAGTATGTCAGTTTATGTCTTATCCTCTTGATTCTCACTGGCAAGCTGTCAAAAGGATTCTCAGATATTTGAAAGGTACTCTACATCATGGTTTATCTCTCACTCCTCTGTCCTCTCAGGCTGTTCCCTCTCTTCATGTCTACTGTGATGCTGATTGGGCTTCAGATCCAGATGACAGGCGCAGTACATCTGGTGCTGCCATTTTCTTTGGAACTAATTTGGTTGCCTGGTGGTCAAAGAAGCAGCCTGTTGTTGCTAGGTCCAGCACTAAATCTGAATACAGAAGTTTAGCTCAGGCTACAGCTGACCTTCTTTGGATACAAACACTTTTGCAGGAACTGTGTATTAAAACCAAGCCTCCTATTATTCAGTGTGATAATCAGTCAGCTGTACTGTTAGCTCATAATCCTGTTTTGCACTCCAGAACTAAGCATATGGAGATTGATCTTTTCTTTGTGAGGGAAAAGGTTTTGGCCAAACAAATTCAAGTGTTGCACATTCCTGGCACTGATCAGCTTGCTGATGTGTTGACCAAACCCTTGCCTTCCACCAGATTCTTGGAGCTTATACACAAACTCAGGGTAGCTAGCTCCCCTCAGTTTGTGGGGGGATATTGAATGTATAAGCAAATGTATAAGTAGCTTTACTGTTATTCCCTTGACTGGCAACTGTAAGTTACAGTATGCCCTAACCTGTAATAGCAGGTTACCCTTGATGCTGTATATAAAGCATCAAGGAGCCTTTTTGTAATAACTGGAAAAAAAATCAGAAAACAGAATAACAGAATTCTGTTATAGATGAATACTCTCTTCTTCTCATTCTTCTTTTCTAATAAGGTCATTGGTTTGCAAGATGAATAAAGCATTGTATGGGCTAAAACAGGCCCCCAGGGCCTGGTTTGACAGACTTAAGAGTTCTTTGGTGCAGCATGGGTTCAAGGCAAGTAAATGTGATCCCAGTCTATTCTTCTTCCACACTGACAGTTTAACCATTCTGATTCTGGTTTATGTGGATGATATAATCATCACTGGAAATTCACCATCCTTTATTGCCAACATAGTCAAGAGTCTCAATAGTCAGTTTGCTCTCAAGTACTAGGGCAACTAGACTACTTTCTTGGGATTGAGGTCACTCATATGCCAAATGGATCTCTTATTCTCTTACAAACCAAGTATATTACTGATTTACTTGCAAAGGTTAACATGGCTACTGCTAATGGCATGCCTACCCCTATGGTGTCTAGCAGCAAATTGTCTAAATTTGGTTGTTATTGTCGCTGATCCTACACAGTACAGATCTATTGTTGATGCCCTGCAGTATGCTACTTTAACTAGGCTTAAGCTGTCCTATTATGTTAACAAAGTGTGTCAGTTCTTGTCAAATCCTTTGGAGGAGCATTGGAAAGCAGTTAAGAGAATACTCGGGTATCTCAGTGGCACACTAAATCATGGTTTGTTACTTCAGCCTGCTCCCAAACATCAGCCTTTATCCCTGATGGGTTTCTGTGATGCTGACTGGGCAGCAGACCCAAATGATAGAAGATCCACATCAGGTGCTTGTGTTTTCCTAGGTCCAAACCTAATTTCCTGGTGGTCTAAGAAGCAGCAGTTGGTAGCAAGGTCCAGAGTTGTTGTGGATTCAATCTCTTCTTCATGAACTTCAATGCAGATTTCAGATTCCTAGAATTCTCTGTGACAACCTAAGCACAGTAACTTTAGCTCACAATCCTGTGCTTCATAACAGAACTAAGCACATGGAATTAGACATCTTTTTTGTGAGAGAGAAGGTTCTAAATAAAAGCTTAACTGTGGCTCATGTGCCTGCCCAGGATCAGTGGGCAGATGCACTGACAAAACCTCTTTCTGCTGTGAAGTTTCTTCCTCTGAGGAACAAACTCGGAGTTGTCAACAAAAGACAGTTACTGAAAGCACCCTCAGCTTCTAAGGGGGACTATTAGAGATACATATATATAGCTTGTTATAGAGCTTAATTTCCTAGTAATTACTTTGTAAAGCTGGCATAGGGTTTGTTATAACCTAGCCTCATCTCTCCCTTATATATAGGGATCCTTTGTACTGTTAACACTTTAGAAGAAATACAATAACAGAATTTCCTCATCTCTCTCCTTTCTTACAATTCTAACATGACCCCTTTCCGAGCAAGCAAAAAAAACCCGAGAAATTGAGGAAGGAATGAAATAGAAAAATAATATCACTTGTTAAATATGTTTGGATCTCAACCCCAAAAGTCAGCTCAAAGGGTGAGGTTGTCCTCACATATTTATACATTCAACAGCCCGGGAACCTAAGCAATGTGGAACTTCAAACAAACTCCAATAACACAAATATCAACTTCAACATCACTCATGTTAAATATCTACAAGGAATTCCGGTGATTGTGGATCAGAAATGCTGGTGAGTTACAGAATTGATAAGGGAATCTAATTACTAAATACGTAAATACACATTGGCATATCCCAGCGGAATGAATATCTTCCAAAATTTGGCATGCGTCATCCATGTAAGGTGCAAAAAGAAGAAGCAAAATTCATCACAATAACTTTTTCTTTTTTCATATTTATAGCGAGGATAAAACTACATTAATTGCCATGTCTTACCTTAGACCTGGATCGCTTGTGCAAGGTGTGAAGAACCATCCCTGAGTACAACTGTAACCAGAATAAATAATCTGCAACCAACAAGAAAAACATTATTCGCAATTTTTTATTAAAAGAAATCTATTATATCATTTTAAGAGACATAGTAGCTATTTGACTTTTAACACCAATATTAAAATGTTCGTGGTAAACTAAGTCCACTGCAAAAAATATGGATTGCTGGCTCAAAAATGTAACATCAAATAAACTAAAGCAAGCAAGAAGGTAACTGAATTTATAAAAGACATCCAACTGTTCCAGTGACCAAATACCTTATTTGCAATTGGACCACTTGCAAGGTAGGGTTTTTCATCACGTAGATGATGGAAACCATAAGCAACCCGGGCATCCATTCCTGTATAACATAGCGAGAAATACTGAAACTGCTCAGAAATACAGATTAAAGATATACATTTGAGGCATCTGAACATATTTCCATCCTAAATTAACACCCTAAGCCAAGAAAACTAGTCACATTTTAAGTCTCTTCACGTTACATACACACTCACATACACAGTTCCCCACAGGCAGGTGAGGAAAACCAAAACAACATAAAATCTCAGGTAAAAGGAATTCCCATTTCAATTCTGAAGCTGATGTTGCAAAATATTTGAGTCCCCAAAAGCTAAACTTGGGAGATGAAAAATATGCCGTATAGTAAAGGATGAAAAATATGTGTAGCCAGTTTGATAAGTCAGTAACTCCATTCTTGAAGTATTCTCCAGCATGAATGCCAGGAAGAGAGTAATTTGTCTTCAAAATAATGTTTCATGGGATTAACATATAGCATTTAGTATATACTCATCATGTATAGTAACTTCATTGTTGAATATATATGACTATTCTCAACTACCATCTAAGGCACCAAAATAGACATGACCCATCACAACTAACAAATATCCATTTCAGGCACCAATACAACACTGGATGTATAAGATCAAAGTACCTATGCTGAAGTAATTATAGTACACGCCTTCATAACTTGCAACTTTCTCAGGCAGTTCTCCCTCAATTTCTATGCCCTGTGTAGAACAGACACAAAAAACACATGTTACAACACAAAAAGCAAAAAAAACATATTGAATGAAAAATATATTAAAAACTGATTGTAAAAGCTGCATGCAGACTCAAATTAATGACATATTAAACCAAACCCACAACCTGATCAAGAGTGAACTCTTCTGCGTGCTTCAAACAATGTGGTGGTTTAACGGGCGTGCCTTCAGGCATTGTAATGGAAAGTCGCCAACTGCATTAAAAAGAGAGGGAAAAAATACATTAATTTACATATGAACTACATAACAAGAAACTATTAAGAAAGGTCTCGAGATTAACGAATTGGATAAAAGTATGGTCTTTGTTAGAATATTATGGCTGAATTTGATCCATGTAGCCGCCCAACTTAGTGGGATAAGGCTTGGTTGTTGTTTATGTATGAATTACATAGCAAAGAGAATTGATTCTATCTCCTTATGAAAATCAAAATTCTACAAATATATAGAGGTCTATTTGTGGTGCCATGGAAGTTGCAAAAGGAATTTTGAATTTACTATCCTCATATTTTCCATGAAACTACTAAGGACTAATCAATTTAATTTAGTGACTTCATATCCACCGCCAAAATAAACATGGTCAACCAAAAATAAAATAACTTTACCTATCCAAACTAAGAATTGGCCCAGTGCTAGCCTTTTGTAGAATTCTCTTGATAGCTGACCTCCAAGCAAAAGGAAATGAACCACCCTGATAAATATCAGAATAAGAAATGAGCAGTAGACCTGACATGCACTTAACCAAATTATCCAAGCATATGTATGCTTACCCAATTAAAACTCCTAGAGAGATCATTTCCAGTCCCAAGTGGTACGATCCCAATCGGAGGAACTGGTTCTCGTCCTAGCTGGCGAAGTTCTGTAAGACATCCTAACACCCAGCCAACTGTACCGTCACCTCCAGCAACCTGTCCAATCAACCAGTTTCTTTCATCCAATGTGACTGCTACAATAGTAATAGTAGTATTATGATATCTAATGTGAACTCGTCACATACTAACATGCATTGCCATTAAAGCTAACTGTCATCTCACACATTCAATCCCATTTTTTTCAATTAAAAATAAATACATAATCATTCCCTTGTGAATCATATTTCATCAATCTCCCGTGTATCTAGAAAGGAAAACAGTAGAATAAACTAAATAATCTTTCTAATTATAGTAAATCCCCAATTTTCTTAGCCTATGTTTGGAATTACTTAAGAATCACGGTCATGCCATTAGCTAGAAGCTAGCATTCTTAACTTTAGAAAAACACTGTACAGTGACTCGTAAACGCGAGGTAGCGGTGACTCACCAAAATACACTTAATTAAGTGAGCACAACAAAGCAGGAAAAAATTGAACTCAGAAACCCAGTTTTATCACTAGCGCATAAATAATACTAGGAAAGAAGCAAGAATCACTGTAACTTGTGCAACTATGTATACTGTACAGTGTACACTGTATTTTACTGTGTCGGTGTAGTGATCCTATCAACATACCATAACCCTGAGTCTTTGACGAGTTTCTTTAGCACAAGAATCACCGAGAGCAGCCAACATCTCCAAACAAGCCAATCCATACTTTACAAATTCATGAGGCTTCACATCTGATAGATCAAAAACCTGCAATCATCAAGCAAACACCAATCATAACGCAGAAAGAGTAACAAATTTCAGTAGAAAAAAAATTGAACACAAAAACCACATGCATCAAATCATAGATTTAACTAGAATCATCACTATCATCATCGTTGTTTCAGAACTTGTTATACTAGATCCAACAACAAAAATTTCACGATTGACTCTGTTTACTAACACTCGATTCACTATTCAAACAAACACGAACAACAGAAACTGAAATTGACCTTGAAATTCCAGTACCTGTTCTTCGCTCATGAGTTGCTGGAGCCTCAGTTTAAGAGCGGGACCGTGCCGGCCGCCGCTACGTGAGTTAATGAAAACCACCATAGGAGAAGAAGGAACAGTCGCATCCTCTCCTTCTGCGCGATTCCGGTAAAGAGGCTCACCGGCGGCGGGATCCTGAAGACGAATGGAATCACGCATTGCGAAGCGGAGATACTGCGGTATGGTGAGCTGCTTCTTCAAGTCTTCTTTGTCAATACGGAGGCCGGAGAGGCCGCAACCGCGAATCGACTCGACGATTGATGACCTAACTGCTACTTTCTTTGTATCTTCCGATGGCGATTCCATCTTCTTCTTCCACTCTGGCGTTGAGTTGGTTGGTTGGTTTGGTTCTTTTCTGCGGGAGAAAGTTAAACCAGTTGTGGACGAATAGTTTAAATAGAAAAGGAGAAATTGTTTATTTATTGATAATTTAATAAGAATTTTAATAAGAATTTTAATAAGAATAAAGAGAGTATAATGAGTTGTGGTGTGGGTCTGGAAAGAGTCTTGGTGTCTGACTCTCTGTCAGTAATTTTATAATACTAGTGGCAGGAGAAAATTGAAGTCCAAAATGGGAAGGAGTTTGTGGTAAATGGTAATTATGGATTTAGAGAGAGAAGAGATTTTTTATTTAATCACTTTTTTCTAAAAAGGACCGCGTACCGTTGTGAATGTGACGTATATGTAACTTACCAAAAGAGGATCCGCTATTACTCACTCGGTTCACCCACCACCCACCACCCACCACACCATTTGGGTGGATCCAGTAAAGTACCAGTATCATTTCTCATTATAACTTATATCCGCAATGTTTTTCTCCCTGCACTAGATTTAATTTCACGTCGAGTTGTTGTTTTTTCTTTTCTTGTTTTTTTTTAAATATGAACTTTTGTCAAAATAATACTAACTTTGTCTTTAAACATAAGACTCTAAAATAAATTATTGATTAATTAGAATATTCACAATGATTATATTCACTTAATTTTTTAAAGAGATTAATTGAAATTTTTTTACACATTTAATTTATTCAATTTATCACAACTATTATGGAGTGTATCAATTAAATTCTTTTTTTGCTATGATCGATGAATTTGTAACTCAAGATAGTACGGAAGCTTTCTCATCTTTCGGTTTTTAATCATATTAGAAATGTTCTTGCGCATGGACTCTTTAGAAAAAAAACATGCACAAGAAAAAAAATGATTGGTTTGAAAAAGATTTGTATGATCTTTCCTTCTTAGAAAGTTGTTTCCAAGTGGAAAATTGCTCAGACTATCAAACCAAGCTTTATGGGATTGTTTCAGAACGTATAGAGCCTTTTGTCTATTTTGAAAAATATGAATAAGAAAAGTTTCATAAAACTGGGAAGAAGATTAGCATTCATTTCTTTGTTGATGTAACGCTCAAAAATATAGTATTTACATCTATTTGGAAGAGTTTAATAAAATATAATGCATGGGTCAATGATCGGTTATTTAGTGAGTGTAAAATATAACTGTAAGTGCACAGTATATCGTGTAGTTTTAAAAAGATATCGATCCACAGAGACCAACAGTCAAATCTATTGTTTCTTGTTGTTACGGTGTTTATCTAAGGCAATTAAAAATAGTGGTGGAAAAGAGACGAAATAAATAAATTTGATAAAAGCATATGGATAACAATATTGGAGTATAATTCACATTAATCAACAATACTATGATTGTCTCTACTAAGATTACTTACAGGGCAATATTTTCTAATTTGAAAAGAATCAATTTAACGGGAATTGTCGCTTTCGCATATTCAGAATCGAATTTACTCTCTAATTTATGCATTCCATTGCCACTTATGGAAGGTGCTTATTGTGTTAAAGTAGTAAACCTATTTTAAAGAAGATGCTTAAGTTTGGTTTGTTTAAGTCTTTGTGGGTATAGAATCAGTGGTTTATAAGGAGGTAGTGGTATGTAAGTTTGCTTATCTTTTTCAGTTTATTTCTCCTTAACCTTTTATTCTCCTTGCTTCTCAGGTTCAACTGATTCTTCTACTGATGGTTTTTCTGGTGTAGTCTCAACGTTTTCTTTACGTGGCTCAGGCTTCTTTGTTAGATTGTTGTTCAAATTAGGGTTTACAGGTCCATCATATACAGTTCGTTTCGCAGTGAAATACCATTAACATGGTCCTTTAGAATAGGTTGAGGTTGTCCAGGGAATGATCCTCCTAGTATAGCCTGGGCAACTTGTTGTTGTGCTACTTGAGAGTTTTGGGTTTCCAACATCTTGTTGTGCGTGACCACATAATCAACCTTGTTACCTAATTGCGTAATCAGCTCATTTATATGAATGTTTTGATTCATGAATTCTTTGTTCTGCTGAGTTTGAGTTGAGATGAAACTTTCCATCATTTTCTCTGGGTTTGATTTCTGAGAGGACGAGTGTGCCTAACCGTGAGAATTGACTATATGACTTGGAAGGTCAAGATGAGTCGCTAACTCCACCTAAGACCCCTTTGTCCCCTAAATACCATCTAACTCTTCTCTCTGATGCCTCATCTTCTTCTTCTTCCTTAGTCGGTGTTCCCCTCCTAATGAACATGATGTTAGGCTAAATGCCCTCAGAGCTGAATTTACTACTCTCCCCCAATATTTCCACGGCTTTTATGGATGTAGTACACGAGCATATGAACCACATATACCAGGATATCTACACCATTTGTAGATTCCTAGGTCCTGATGTAGGACGCCATAGTGGTTGATCATTATTTTATTTTATTGTGTTCCTGCTTCGCACTTGATCATTGAGGACACTTCTCGGTGTAAGTGTGGGGGAGGAAATTATTTCTCGCTTTTCTAGACTAGATTTTCCTTCTTTCTAATTAGGATTTCATTCTCTTTCTAATTTAGGAGTTAAGTCTTGTTAAGCTACTGACATAAAACATAAGTTGCGTGGGAGGCAACCCACGGTTTCTATTTCAATAATATCATCTCAATTTTCATCTCAATTTATTTTTATTACTTCTTTTTTATTTCAATTTATTTTGTTCTTTTGATTGATTTTTTTATTTTTAAGGAAAAGTTCCACAAATGAGATATAATGCACAAATTTTTGCCTTAAAAACCATTTAAGCCATTAAAATCACTTTTTGCCCCCTGAAATATCAAAAACGTGCATTTAAGGTCGATGGAATTCACCATAGCATTAAAACATGAAAAATAGTTTCAAGGTCCACGGCTCTCACCATAGACCCATGGTGTTTGCCATCAACCTATCAATTGCAAAAATCATATTTCCGACCATTTTCCTTGTGAATCCCACTCACACCCCTCCCAAAATCATTACCCCTCTTAACTCCTTCACTCATACCCACTCTACCCTATCTCCTTCAAACTTCAACCATCTCCACTCCCAAACCACCATTCCTCTATTTAACCCTAATTTTTTTCCATCTCAACTCCTCTATTCCACATTCTCACTCAACCATAAACCCCACTCTATTTTTAAACACTTTCGTAATGCCTCCAAGGATGGAAAGACCTCCAGATGATTTCATGGACATCGTATTCAGAGAAGGAGAAAATGGTAAAAAGCAGAGATAATGGTATCTTAAGTTGTTTAACCGAACAATCATTCTGACAAGGTATGTCGACAAAATCCTACTTATGTAGTTTAGGATTGTTAGGCAGTGCACGTTGGATGCTTGATAGGTTAAATTTAACCCATTTATATGCACTACATGATCCCACCTACACAAGGTTAACACTAGAATTTTTGAATTCTTTCGAATACCATACACCAATAGTGAGTTATGGCACCATAAGCACCGTTAAGTTAAGAAGGTTTCACAAAGAATATGAGCTGAACCAGGATCACATTTATGATCTGCTACATTTTCCCCATGGGGGTGGTATAGCATGCGAAGGGCCTTTGGAAGGGGCATAACAGCTTGAGGCTTTCCGTTTTTGGGAAAATTGACAGGTGAAACCACATCCAATTGGGAGGGGCTGAAATCCACACAAATTCATAACCCGGCCATATGTTATTTACATAGTATATTGGCAAACACTGTATTTGGATGGGTAAACAGCAGAAAGGTGAACTATAATGAGTTGTTTTTCATGCATAGTGTGTTTACACTAACATGAATAAATGCAGCCCCATTCATGCTTGCACATATGCAATTCGTCTGTACCAAAGAAAGAGGTCCAATTTACATTGGAGGACTAATCACTTCCATAGCTCATGCCATTGGTTTACATGCTGAACTTGCAACCTTACAACCCTTACAAACGCCCCCTCCTAGATATCTCTACTTGTTAAAACATGCACCTAACTAAAAATAGGACAAGTAGCAAATACTTTTTATGGATAGAAACTGTAAGGTGAGGAGCGTTATTTTACCCGGTCCAGCATGCACTAGCGTGCAAGACATAGCCACTTGGATTTATGATCTGACCGCCTTATTATCAGTCCATCCTGCTCTTAATAACATTTCTACATGGGATAATGTATGTGGTCATACGAATGATGAGTTTGATCAAGTGGAGTAAGATCCTCCCACCCATATTCATGGTACACCTGCACCTGGTTTTGCTAACACTTTTGTAGGTACTTCCTCCGAAAGCAACTACCATGAAGAACTGCTTCGAGAAGTGAAAGAGCAAAGAGCTTATGATGAAGAGCGTGATGGCCTATTTTATTCCATGTATGAACAATATCAAAAGATGATGGAATACCTGCAAAATATGCAAGCATCACATGATTAATCAAATTTGGACATGTGGGTGATGCGAGATAACCAAGCAACCATGGCATTGCAATTATAACTCGACCAATTAGAGCATCATCACAACTTCAACCTGGTGCAAGCAAACCAAGTAGCTATGCTCGAGAACATCCGCAAATTGCGAGAATCCAACACCGCATTAAAAGAACAGGTTCAGAAGTTGACCATAGCTCAGAGTTCCCGACACCAAAGCAGGAGTCGTCATTCACGACATAACTAGCAAAGGCAGGACTAGAGAGGAAATGGTCGTGGAGGCCCACAGTAGTGTGTATTCTTGTTCTATCTTTCCTTTTCCACCTCTTATCAAACATTTGGGACAATATTTGGTTTAAGTGTTAGGGAGGAACTTTATTGCTTTCATTTATCACTTTCTATGTAGATTTATCATTTTCTTTAGTATTTCATGTTGTAAGGACTTTATTTGTTTCTAGTGTTCAACTGAGTCATTGCATGTGTTGTTGAGTCTTTGTGTGAGGTTTTATGTTGATTATTTATTCTCCCGTTCTCTTGAGCCATACCAAAAAAAATTGAAAATTTTGAATTAGAAA